AATGGAGTTTGTGCATGGCATGAACTCGCCAAGTCCAAAGATCAGACTCGGCGAGTAGGGTTAGGGTTTCCCGTAAATCACTCAGTGAGTAGACTTGCTGAGTTGGGGAAATAACTCAATGAGTCAGAGGGGGATTAGAGGACTAGGGTTCAAGGCGGAACTCGCCGATTTGTTCTTGAGATTCGACGAGTTGAGTCGGGGTGGCCCCACGATTCATGCCAGATGAGACTGGTCGAGCAAGGGGAGGAACTCGACGTGCCAAGCGGGACTAAAGAATTTGTGGACACGTGTAGACTCGCCGAGTTGCACAAGTGCACTCGACGAGTCGGGTCAAAGTTTGACCGTTGACTTTGGTTGACTTTTAGGGTTTGGTCAACATTGAGGGCCTTTGAGCCAAAGGAGGGGTAAAATGGTCTTTTACCCTCCTGAGGGTGCCAAGAGAGGGTTGAGTCTAGTCTGAGAGTTATATTTATGAGAGTATTTATTTTATGTAGTTAGGCGGAGGCTAGATCGTACTTCTACCGAGTCAGAGATTTGCCGAGATATCTAAGGTGAGTCTTCTCACTATACTTTACCTTGAGTGGTAATTAGAGTTATGTGATAGAGTTATTGTATGCTATTTATGTGATGTGTTGCACTGCATTATTTCTATGTGATTTATGCCATGTGTATATCAGAGTATATCAGAGTTAGAACTGGAAGGTTCACAGAGCTAGGACCAGAGGGTCCACAAAGTTAGGGCCCAAGGGCCCACAGAGTTATAGCCTTGAGTGGCTAGTATGTGTTATGTGTGGTATTTTAGGGAACTCACTAAGCTTTATGCTTAAAGTGTTATGTGTTATGTGTTTCAGGTACCAGTGATGATTGCGGGAAGGCGCCGGCATGATTCGTACACACGCATGGGATTTATGTATTTTGATCTTGGGAAATATTTTGTGAAACAAAGTTATGATACAATGGGATTTTGTTAATAAATGTGTTTTAAAATGCGAAAATTTGTCTTAAAATTTACGGTGTTACAACACAGATGTCTTTGTACGACAATCTTCATCGGACTCGCCGAGTTGGCCATGCAACTCGTCGAGTCCCTTCAGTCCATTATCCATTCAGATGCTTTTTAAGCCATGTTAAGGTCCCATATTGCAGATCCAGCTTCCCAAGGCATGTTTATCACGCAAAGTTTCAAACTTTACGTGCATGCAAGTCTCATAATGTCAAAACCAAGCTTGCAATGGAGCTTTACACTTAAGGAGAGGCTCATATTTGCTAAAGCTGAAAGCTTTATGGACTTAGAGACCAAAGAGATTTCAGATATGAAGTTATAACTTCATATCTTAGCTCATACCCAAGAATAACTTCTTAATATGCTAGAAAAGCCCAAATCTTTAACCCAATGAGATCTAGAATGAAATGAGGTCAAGGAAATGACTTGATACCTTCCAAAAGATGCTAACTGAGGTAGATTTCAGATCCCCACGTGTTCCTTGCTTTTAGCCAGTTGCTCTCTAAGCTCTCCTCACTAATATCCACCTTCCAAATTTTGAAACACACAAGAATGAAGTACACACACGTATTAGGGTTTTATGGACTCTCAAGAGGCTGTAAGGGGGCTAAAAGAGGCTTATGATCCTTTAAATAGGGTGAAAAACCCCGAAAATTGGGGTTTCATTCTCCAGCTCCTACTCGTTGAGTCCTATTTTGGACTCGACGAGTAGGTCATTTAAACACGTGGCCCAATCCGCTTCTACTCGACGAGTCAGGGCATTCAACTCGTCGAGTAAACCTTGCAATTTATGAAAATTAAAGTCATAAAATTATCACCTGAGAGTCGGGGCGTTACATTATATATTAAATTACTATTTATTATGTTCTTTGTATTTATATAAACTTATTATTTAAAAAAAATATATGTAATACTTATAGTTTTATATTAAACTTGTTTTTTTCTAAACTCGTATAATACACGGATTTACCTATATTAATATATAGGATATAAGATGATTAATCATTATTTGTTGGATTGAGTTTTACAATGGAACATTTAAATCATATAAATTTGTTGCTAATATATTTTTAAATTAACTTAAAACAATTTGTATTAAGAATATTTTTTCTTAATCAGTTTACATCCATATTTTAGTCAACTAATAATAACTCAATACTAATATTTTTTATTTCTAAATTTAAATATTTTTGTTTTATTTTGATTTACTCATATAATAACTCAAATTCTAAGGGTCTCTTTTGTAAATTTCTTATAATCTGAAGGGTAGCCGGTCCTCCAAGCTACTCACTTTTTCATAAAGCCTCCGAGGTGAAGAACTCTCCGATCTGCTACACAAAATCCTCTTTCAATTTCACCAAATCATCTTCTCCCCTTTCGATGTCGGTAAGCTCTCTTGTTTACAAACGCATTACTTGTTTCAATATGTAATTTACAGAACAAAAGCCTCGTATTCTCATGGGTAGGAAATCGTCCTATTAATCACTTCGATTCCTTCTTATGTATGCACAAAAATTTCTTCTGAATTTATCTGAAATAACGAGTCTGTCAATTCGGTAGATGTAACAGATGATGAATCGTTTCTTTTTTACCTCTTTCACTCTATCTCTGTTCTTCCGTTTTAATCATCCTGGTATCCGTCATGTAGTTTCATCGATTTTGAATTGGTATTCCGCCATTACTGTTATTTGTGAAAATGTTTGTATAGCCAAAAAATTGTTCAAAGTTGACTCATAGACTACTCTAATGTGGATCAAATGCTTTGAAGCCCTAATTTTCTTAGGTTGTTAAAATCCGACTTACAGGTTAATCTATTTTGTTGTTCCAGATTTTTGAGTACAATGGAAGCGCCCTGGTGGCCATGGTCGGAAAAAATTGCTTTGCTATCGCCAGTGATAGGAGACTAGGGGTCCAGCTTCAAACTATCGCAACTGATTTCCAAAGAATTTTCAAGATCCATGATAAGCTCTTTCTGGGTCTCTCCGGTCTTGGCTCTGATGCTCAAACACTGTAAGCATTCTTCAAAGCCCTTGATTTAGCGTTTCTCAATAACAAGATCAAGATAACTGATCTTGTTATTCTCAAACTCTAGCCCTTTGATCATGACACCTGATATAATACGAAGCTTATGTTTTCATGATGTTTTCTTATTGTAGTCATCAACGACTTGTGTTTCGCCACAAACTGTATCAACTTCGGGAAGAAAGAGATATGAAGCCTGAAACTTTTGCTAGTCTTGTCTCTGCTGTTTTGTATGAGAAAAGGTTAGAATACAACATTTAGCTTACTAAAATTATATACTCCATTGTTAGATTAGTTGGATTTATTTAAGCTTTATATTATGTGTAGGTTTGGTCCTTATTTCTGTCAACCTGTGATTGCTGGATTGGGAGATGATGACAAGCCATTTATTTGCACAATGGACTCAATTGGAGCAAAGTAGGTCTACTTTGATAAATGTTAAGACTCTTGAAAAGTTATTTTATTTTTCTTTGAAATGGTAAATTGGAGACAGACATTAATTTGTTATCTTTTGTTTTGGGAAATGAATGATAGAGAGCTTGCAAAAGATTTTGTGGTGGCTGGAACTGCTTCAGAGTCTCTTTATGGTGCTTGTGAGTCGATGTTCAAGCCTGACATGGTACATTTCTTTATTCTTTATATATCTTTATGCTGTTAATAAGTTTTACATTTAAAAGTTATCTGAGAAAATGATGCTTATATTTTTCAAATATGATGTAATTGTTTGTTGTTATATGATGCAGGAACATGAAGAGCTGTTTGAGACCATCTCCCAAGCTCTTTTATCATCTGTAGACCGTGATTGTTTGAGTGGTTGGGGAGGACATGTGTACCTTGTGTAAGTTCTTACATCTTTTTATATATTAAATATAATATATATAATTTTTTTTAGTATTATTTGTTTTTATAATATAAGAGTGTAAGACATTGATATGGTGTATGGTTTTTGGTTTTTGGTTTTTGATGCAGTACACCAACTGAGGTGACTGAAAGAATCTTGAAAGGAAGAATGGATTAGGGTTTTCTTTATCAAAAAAATCCTATTTAGCCCTTGAACCTTTTGGATTTTGTTTGTATTTTGGTGGTTGTTTTTTAATTTTAAAAGGTGGTTTTGTGCACAAGTTAATCGATATTCAGACTTTTATGGCATTGTTGTGTAACGCTTATCTTCAGTCATTCCTCTCCAAGTATATGCTCTTTTAAGTGCAATTTTATATGCATTTCTCATTCAGTCATTGGGTTTTAACAAATTAGTCATTTTAAAATCTAAGAATATATGATGATCATTATTTATCTTAATTAGAAACGTATTAAAATATCTATGAGAGGATTAGACCAGAGTCACAGACACGACAATAACATATATGATTTGTTCGTGGTTTATGCAAAACACATAAAAGTATAGATGTATTTTCATTTTATAAATACATAAAAGTAATTTAAACTTATAGGTTGATAAAACTAATAAAGGCTTTAAAGTATAAATACGTATTTAAATAATAAAAGTATCTATACTTATAAATGTGGAGAAATAGTTATATACAAAATGGAGGTTAAAAGAATCGCATTTAAAAGAGTAGAATTATAGACATTTTCTTCATCATGTAGATAATTTATACATTTTAACAGACTAATATTTCCAAAAATATAACAACAGATTGATTTTTCTAGTATTACAATGCTTATAATTTATACCCTTTTGTACTTTCTAGTAGTAAATCCATGAGTTGACCATTTGTTTTATTTTATTGCTATAATTTATTTGAAAATGAGAGATCAATTGTCGCATATTTTTGCAATCGATGTTTTCAATATTACCTTGTGTTTACAACGACAATGACAAATTAAACGGTAAGCCAATCTTCAAACGTTGACTTGGTAAAACTATAATTAACCCCCATTTGGACACACCTCTATTATCTCTCGTCTCTGTATAAATATTCTATTAATTAGCATAGATTAAGCTCAACAAAACATGATGAAGTCTCAACTAAGCTCTTCTGTGTTCCTCTTGGTTCTAACTCTTTCCTTTTCTGTTTCAATGGCATCATTATCCTCCCTTAATGGTTCAAAAGATTTCATAAGTTGCATACAATCCAACTCAACCAATATCACCTCCATTTCTCAACACATTTTCACCTCTATCAATGCTTCTTTCCTACCCATTTGGCAAGTCGCTGTCCAAAACATTAGGTTCCTTAAACCCTCCACTCCTAAACCCTCTGTCATCGTGACACCTGTGGAAGCAACACAAATCCAAACTACTCTATTCTGCGCTAACAAATACGGCTATGAGATCAGGATCAGAAGTGGGGGACATGACTTCGAGGGCCTCTCCTACACTTCTGATGTTCCATTTGTAATGATTGATTTCACCAACATGAGGTCTGTACACGTGGACGTATCAAAAAGGACCACGTGGGTCCAGGCAGGCGCTACACTTGGTGATCTCTACTATAGCATTTCACAGAAGACCAACACCTTGTATTTCCCGGCGGGTGTTTGCCCCACGGTGGGTGTTGGCGGGTACATAGGCGGTGGTGGCTATGGAAACCTAATGAGGAAATATGGTACTGGTGCTGATAATGTTGTGGATGTTCGCTTCATGGATGTCAATGGAAAGATTCTTAACAAGAAGTCTATGGGAAAAGATTTGTTTTGGGCGATTCGAGGAGGTGGTGCTTCCAGTTTCGGAATCGTTCTTTCATGGAAGCTGAAGTTGGTTCCAGTTCCAGAAAAAGTAACTGTCTTTTTTCTAAATAAAACTCTAGAAGAAGGGGCAACCAAAATTTTCTATCAATATCAAAACGTTGCACCAACAATTGATAGAGATTTACACATAAGAACGCAAGTATTTTGGGAATATATCGGCAACACCACCAAGAAAACCATACGAATTTTATTCGAAGGAATTTATCAGGGCACAATCGACACATTGCTTCCATTGTTGGACAATACATTTCCAGAGCTGGGTGTTACACGAGAAATTTGTGAAGAAATGACAAGTGTCCAATCAACCGCAGTTTTTTGGGGCTTCCCAAGCTCCACCCCGACTGAAATTATCACAAACCGATCCGCCATATCCAAGCTGAACAACAAAAGTAAATCAAACTATGTCCGAACACCAATCCCTGTAAGTGGGCTCAAAAAGATTTGGAGAAGGTTTTTAGAAAGCGATGGATCGGGGCTTTTTGTGATCAATCCTTTAGGCGGGAAGATGGCAGAGTACTCAGAGACAGCAATTCCATATCCTCATAGAGCCGGGGTGTTGTACCAGTTTCTCACTACTGTAAATTTCGTGGATCAACCTTCGGACACAACCCCTATATCGCTCAGGAGGATAGCTTGGTTGCGAAGGATGGAAAAGTTATTGACGCCTTATGTGACAAAGAACCCGAGGCAGGCGTATGCCAACTATGTGGATCTGGATTTGGGTGTAGGGAGTGATAATTATGAAGAAGCAAGTGTTTGGGGTGAGAGATATTGGAAGAGAAACAATTTCAAGAAGTTGATCCGAATCAAGGCTAAAGTTGATCCAGAAAATTTCTTTAAACACCCACAAAGTATCCCAGTCTTCTAATAAATTGTTGGGTGTGAAGGTATTTGGTATTGTAAATAATACTAAAATGGAAAAATATGTTGTTTTTTTTTTTTAGTAATAGTAAATGTTAAGTAATTTATATTGTTCATTAACTACTTAGCATAATTATTTTTATGAATCACTGGACTTTTCACTTTTAAGGCTTGCATTTTAGTAAGTTATCTACCAAACAAACTTGCAATACAAACTTCTCCATAATATTGTGCAACAATGTCTCTAACTCGCTTCTTACTCTTAATATTTGAAAAGATTTCTTGGAAATTTGTCCACTAACACTACTACAAAAGGAGCTATTTTGTACATTAAAATATTGATAGAAAAAATACGTAGATGTTACATAAGTGATGATCACAATAAGCAAAATAAGAATATCCACATAATATCAGTGACGAATTTATAATGAAAATTCACATGGTTCACTAAAAGTTGGACCGGTTTAAAAAAATGGGTCCAATCGAATCGTCTCACTAAGAAAAATAAACTGTTTTAGCATGCATAAAAATTATTGAGTCCGAATCGGTTATTCTTTAATTTTTTTTACTAAAAGCAAAATTCACTTAGTGTTAATCGGTTTAAACTAGACATCAGCAAGCTTATGTTGTACAAATATGAAAAAAGAAGCATTTATTTATAATAAAAAACTCATTAACCATTGTTTTCTTCAGTTAATGTGGGACTACTTAATCCCACTTATGATGTGTCTTTTATTGTCTTTAGTTTATACTTTTTTCTTTTTTTTTACAAAGCACATTAAGGTAGGTCTTTCAAAATATTCAAGATGGGTCCTAAATGTTTTTTGTATATGATTTGTCATAAACTTTTTAATTTTAGGTGGGTCAAGTGACCCACCTTCCCATAACATAGTCTCGTTCCCACATAATATAACTATAAGCATAGACCCTTGTAAAGAAAAACCCACAAGACACAACTTTGTATATTAACAAAATTCAACTATAAAGAAAAAGTTGTATAGTTGAAATCGCTATGAGAGATGAGAGAAAAAATATGTAATGGAATGAATAAAAATGTCATATGTTGACTTTATAGAAGTTGATTAGAAGATCTAAACATACCGTAAAATTATTAATAGATATGAAACAATACTAATAGATAGCTAACCTAAGAGTCAAGCAAATAAAACATCATAAAATAAATTAAAATAAATAAATACAATAAGTAAAATATTGCTTAAAAAAAAGTATTGTGTTTATATCTCACGGTCTAATACAACACTATCTTGAAATTAAATAAATAAAATATGGACATCCAAATTTCAAAAGGGACCAAACTCTCTCGAATGACATAAATGAAAAAACATAGTGATTTATCCAGATCATCCTAATTTCATTTGATGCAAACAATCAACTCAGCATAAATAACTCAAAAACTTTTGAAATATTTAAATACATTAAAAACTATAACATGTTCTGGAATGCACTCAGGAACTATTGGTTGCTCGCTCAAATAAGGTTGTATCCGCCACCATACGTTTCAAAATTATCAGTCTACGATCCGATATAACTCTATCCAACACTTTACAAACAATACTCGGAAAGTTATTCAAGATACCTTTTGATACAAGAAACATGTCAAGTTTACTCATTTTAGCACAATTAGCACTAACTCAAGTAAAAGAGAAATCATTCGCATTAAACTCACCAAAAACAATATTAGACGTTGGATGAGACTGCATAAAAACGTCAAGTAAATTCACAAACTTCTCTTATCCACTTCACTTTGAGGAGAATAATTGTCAACCATAAAGCATTTAACCTTACAAAACACCCATTCGCCTTCTATTCTTATCATGTTTTCGGTATAAAACAATTAAGACTTGATAAAAACTGAGGGATCCCAAAGAGAAACAATACCACCAAACAAACCCTTTGCATTAAGTTTGCAAAATTAAACTATTAGTTTCCCCAAAGACTTTAAATCATAAACAAATCAAATCTAGCCATACGTGTTTCCTTGATACCAAGAAAATGCATACCATGCTTATTGCACAAATTCATGACATTCCTCTGTTTCATCTCGTTACTAATTCCACAAGCGTATATGATCAGCTACTATTTAAATAATTTGATAAATCATCCTTATTTACTCACATTTAGTGTTGTTCGACATCAACTTCTTGACCACATGTCTTTCTTAAGTGTGGTCATCTCACATATGCGCAGATGAGATTAATTAATTAATAGTAATAGATGTGTATGTTGATGATATCAAACTCAAAAACAAACAAACAAAAAAACTTAGTTTACCTACTTACACATTAAAATCCAAAAACGCAAAGGAGGGCTACATGGTTTGCATTTGCACAACAAAAACTCTCATATAACTTACTTGAAATCTATGTTGCCCAAAACAAAAACAAACAAACAAACAAAAAAAGGTTGTCTATTTAAGTAACCCAACAACATCCTACAACTATCAACTTCCATTTAAGTCAGTAACCTTTAGTTTAAGCCATATCAGCTGGCTTATTCACTGTAGATTGTGCAGGAATGGCTGATTCCGGAGCAGGAGTCACAGATTCCGGAGTCACTTGCTTATACGACTTCCTCTCATGTTGAATTTGAGCATCCAACGCGGTCTCCGTCTCGGGATTCTTTTTCGCCTTCTTTTTCGCCAATTCCGATAGCGTTGTGGAGGCGGTTTGATTGCTGGAATTGGCCTTTAACTTGTCGTGTTTTGGGCGGTCTGTGGTGGGAATGTTGGAAGAACTGGCCGGCTTTGTGGTGGCAGTGGCGGTAAGTGTGGTGGTTATTGACCGGATGAGTGCAGCCGAGTCGGTGGCTACCTTATTTGGAGCATGTTGGGCTTCACCAGAAACGGTGTCAGATTTTGACACAAGTAATTTTTTCCTCTTCATCTTCTCCTGCTCCTTTAAACATCAAATTAGGCAAAAACAAAATATAAGTCACTTGATTGGAATCAACAATTCCATTCCTGCCCTGATTCCAAATTACCAAATACTTACCTTCTGCCTGTGTAGTGCTTTTCTCCTATCTTTTGCCCTAACAATTGCTTTCTTCACCCCATGGTTATCCATCCAGCCTTTTGGCCAATATTCTGCAAGCTGCAATACAGACAATTAAAAAAACATGTAAATTATGTTTAAACTTTTTCAATTTGAACTGATGTCACCCAAAAGACGAGAATGCCCTCCTCAGCCAAGCTTACCTCTATATAAAGCTTCCTAACTAGTGGAGTTGCATCCTCCACCTCAAGCCCCTATTGAAGAAGTAAATTTGTAGAAAGTAAGTTGCTGTGAAAAGGAAATAAAAGTTTTCTTTAGATAATGTTAAGAATAAATTACATCAACAAAAAGATCATAAAGCTCGCAAATCTTGTCCTCTAAAGCATCATCTGTAACAAATCTGCTTTTAACAACTTTTTCTTTACTGCTTGCTTCTTGAAAATCATCAGATGATCCTGTTTGCTCAATAACCTGAAATCACATACAAATACAATTTATCTGTGTCTGACATGACCAGGACAAAAGTAAACAGATTTCTGTCCTACCCAAAAAGGTGCGACAGAGACTAAATATGCAAAAAGACGTAAATGCCCTCATCATTAAAAAAAAAATTAGTAAAGTACCTCAGGCTTCATCATTGAGACACGTGCCTTAACCATGTCATCTATTTCCTTCTTTAACTGTTGTACCCTCTCGTCTTTCTCTTCTGTAGCAGATAATCCCATGGTGACCATGTTATGAAGATTTCTCTATTACAAAGTAACACACAAACACAAACCAATCAATATTCAATAACAATAAAATAATTAAATAATTAAAAAAGGTAATACCTTCAATGATCTAATTTGTATCAGATGACCAAGGATGCTCATCAAACGATTAAGTAGCTCCTTTGATAGTTTTCCATGAATCGCATGCTACAAATACCACAAAAAATGTAAGATTTTTATATAATAAGAAAAAAAAAATAGAAAGAAATGTTGGTATTTATTACCGCCAGCCTGGCAACTTTAGCAAGCTTTTGCTTAATTTCAGGAGGCATTCTTCTTTTGACGGCCTGAGCTGAGTTGTCAGCTTCCGGAACCTCCATACTTGGTGGCCTTGCTGTTGTGAGGTCAATATTTAAGGAATTGGTCAACAATTGGTCAACTATAAAAGGTGATAGAGTCAAACTTACTTTCTGCAACTATCTTCTCCAAATCCCTGATGGCTTTTTCAAGCATCACATTTGTACTTTTAGGTTTCAAGCTTGAACCTTCCTTTCTCACTGTGTGTGTAGTCTTCTGCTTGAAAATTATAATATCCAAATCAATAATAAATATATATATATATATATATATATATATATATGGAAATATATTTACGTCATAAAACGACAAATTTAAGCTTAACAATTACCATTTTGGGCAGATTTAATAAGTACCCACAAAAAGAAGTAACAGACAAATGACTTTAATATACAGGAAAAAAAATATATTATAAATAATACCATAAATGTCGAGATTTTTTGTTGATTGTCACTTTTTATATGCTAAGTAGTCAAATACCATGAAGTAAATAAAATCGTATTCGAATGTAACATTGTAGTAATGGAAAATACCAGATATGATATTTTTGTTGAGGACCACAAGGCTAAGCTAAAAAAAACATTAATTCGTTTACTAGTTGTGTTATATTGTTGTTTATTTGAATTAATTCATGTCAAGTCAATTTACATATATGTGGATATTTTGGTTATTACTTACACATATAATTACTTCTATTCTCATTAAGAGAAGAGTCAACTTTTTGTGTTTTATATTTCTTACCTTAGTAATTAGCATCACTACACTTTTTTATTATATTTGACTCAACTCTCAAGATAAGTTTATTTGAATAATTAAGGTGGATATCGAGGATTTATTGACGATTTTCTCTTATTGACATGTGGACTCATGGTTTTTGCACAATCGGGAAATTCTATAAAAGGTCCAAGGCTTATGAGGAAACTTCAATT